TTTCTGTTAACAAAATCTCTGTAAAGTCTGGTTCACTTCTTTAGAACATTACATACATTTGGTGTACCTTAATTTTTGCAACGGAAAACCATTATGAAATGAGTTCTGTACCATATAATGGAATATATCCTCTTAGAGCCTTCTTGACTGGTCCTAATTTTTGCTACTGTATGAATTTTCTGAAAACTCTCAAGACTATGAATTTGCTTTAAAATTTTGTTGTCTAAATGAATGGTTGATCTCTCATTTTGCTACATTTAAACAATTCACTACTGAAATAAAGAATAAGTTTGTGAAACTCTGGCTTGCTGATTACAGGTAATATTTCAAGAATACATACAGTTTGATTGGAAATTGAATTGGTCCATTCTGCTCGTTTTTTGATATCCCAGACTTGTTCCTCACCTCGTCTTTATTCCCCTAAAAAGCATGTACTATCTACAGCATTTTTTTCCCAGATCATTGTTTTTTCTGTTGCTAGCAGGTATACAGAAGTATTCTGATGGAACTTCTAGGTAGAAAGTGCTTCCATAGGTTTACTAGTCTTGGCTGTGGTATCACCAGTGGGACTAAAAAAATGCTGTAAATTGAAAGCACTCATTTCTGTTTCAGTAAGAAACAGATATTTGATTTGGCAGGAGCTGATGTTTTTGTGTGTTTTGTGTCTCTTAAACTCTGATATTCGCCTCACTGAGATGGGAGGAAGTGATAATACTTTTGTGGCTGTTGTTCTATCTGAAGTGTTTCTAAAAGACAGCAAACATGAAGTATCATTACATCACTTTTACATTTGTCTTCACCACAGGAAGTTAAAAAATTCTTTAGTAGAGTAAATATGTAAAAATTTAGATCAAATTTTCCAGGTCTCTCTGCAAATGCTAGTACAGCATGAAGCACAAAGACTCTTACCCCTGAGACTTTCTATATATAGAATCAATCAGCAAGAATATTTCTAGCAGAAAAAAAATTGTGTGTATTAGCAAATACCTAATGGTGGGAGAAGTTAGAAATCTGACCAGTCTTTCATGCTTTTTTTTTCCACATCAGAGAAGCTGAATGGAGTTAGGAGGTGAGAGAATAAAATGTTTGTTCCAGTAGGACATTTTAAATTGTTTTTAGTGTTAATTTTTGAAGCAGTAGCTCTAATTAAGATAAAGTACCTGTCTTAATGGAACAATGAAGAGAGCTCAGTATGTGATTAGACTTTGCACGGGTGATTAATGATCATACTTGGAAATTACTTTAGATCCTGTAATGTTTTGATAATCTGCTCCAGTTTAAGTTCTGTAACTAGAGATGGTGATAACGATGAAGTTCACACAAGGTATTTATGCACAGGATCAGGCTGACTAACATGATGTACTTCTGGGACAGGAGGTTCTTTTTGGTCTATATTTTGTCCAGTTCTTGCAGTGAAGTATGAAAAGAAACGATTTTTCTCCCTCTCTGTCCTTCAGTTTTTGGAAAGAAAGTTGTTTGCTAATAGTAGATAGCTGTTACTGCCACTTTTTCGACAGTGAAGGCTTCTCCTGTTTCCAAAAAGCAGCTATTTTTAGCACTTCAGTAGGCAATTACAGGCGATTCCCATGCTTAACTCCTCTAGTTTACATTTATTTGGATAAATAAAGGCTTCTAGTTTTATCCTTTTTTAAGTCTGTCTGGATAAACAGAGTGTGCTAGTGTGCATGTGTGCTACACAAACACTTGTAAATACAATACCATTCCAAGAGAAATATCCAGCACACACAAAGTAGTCTTTAAAAAGTTGCCTTTCTGATTCTGCTTTGAGAAGAAAAATACCAATTTCTAATCTGAATTCAGAGATTAGACAAAAGAATGTAAAAAAGTATGATCTACCAGCCAAAGAGTAATATGAGAAATATGTGAAATTGTATTAAAAGAACCTGATAATAACCCCATCAGTGGCTCCACTTTCCTGAATAGTTGATGTGAATTTTGGTAATTGTCTAGGTAGTAAGTGGTTTCTTCCCCTATTTTTTATTAAATAAGACATAAACACAGTTTCCTTGGATTAATTATTATTAGTTTAAAAAAACCAAAAAACAACTAACAAAAACCCAACAAAAAAACATAAATGCTCTGTTCAAGATTTCTTACTTCACAGTTTAAATAAAGCAGCAATTGCAAGCAGCTTGTGCCCAAAATTTAAAGACGAGAAAACTGACTCAGGTGCAGAGTCAGAGTCTGCTTCAAAGTTAAACAATTTGCCAGGTGAGCAGCATCATACATGAGCCTAGCAGAGAATACCCCAGGAAATCAAAATGGCAAAGGGCAAAGAACTCTCACTGAAAAGTAAATAATGGAAACGGCTGAAAATTCAAAGCTCCAAGTTCAGAAAGTCCTCTGCAGGATTGATATTAAGTATATGCCATTCCAGTGGAGTTAATGTAACTGAAGCAATTTGATATGTGATTTCTAAGCACAGAGGAACGAGGCATGTGCTGAGACTGAAGCATGCACTCAAGATTTTAGGTGACACGGGTTCAGCAAAATCTTTTTGTTCCATTTTGGAAAGTTATTAGCATGATGGGATGTCTATGGTGGGAATTCCTGGCTGTGAACCCAGCAGAAATAAGTGCTTTTCTCATCTGGAGGGGGCTGCTGCTTTGGGAAACTCAGAGCTTCAACAGCAGTAGGGAATTCAAACAGAAAAAAATGCTCAAGCATGACAGTTCAGGTGAGATTACAATGTCAGGTAAAAAGGTCACAAATTACTGTCAACAGAAGGAATAAAGTAATTAATTGTTCAAGGACCTCTTAGGTTGTTTTATCCTGAGTGTGCTTATGAGAATGCCACTAATCGCAATGGATGTTGCAATGTGTTAAGAACCGTTTGCTTTTAAGAAAATTGACAACCGACCAGTCCAAAACTGATGGCAGTATCCAGGGGTTGGTGACATTCGCCAGGGTCTTCTGAACAAAACTTGGAAAGCCGAGGGATGGCTGTGGGGTATTTCCTGCTCGGAACCACCAGGGGCAGCATTTGCTGCGGATTGAGCGAGCGGGGCTCGCAGCGCAGCCCCGCAGCCGCTGCCTCTCACCTCGGAAGGGAGAGATCACACGCAAACCGAACTCTCGAGATGCTGCTTGGCAAAAAGCGCATCTTGAAAGTCTCAAGTTAAAATTTAAAAAAAAAAAAATCTTTGCTTGGAAAGATCATTCTCTGAGTTCTACGAAGTCTTGTAAGAGTGAGAGAGAGAATTCCTCCAGCTGTCTTGGTAGCTTCTGGAGCAGCACCATGGATTTCATATTCCCACAGCCACTTTGAAAAACGGCTAAGACATCATTTTAAACACTCCCACTTACTCTCCATGAGATTCATGTGTTACTGTTGCACGTGTGTTCTGTGACTGACTCCCTTAAGCACAGTAATGACATCTGAGCACTACAGAACGAATGAAAGCCCAAGCAAGGCCTGAAGCAAAGGTAACATGTCTACTCTCTTGGAAACATTATCATTTCATTTAATTTTCCAGCTGTGCCAACCCACTGTTCTCAACAGATTCAAGCTACTGTTACATATCAAATAGTAACCCACTCTTCCTCAGTTGTTCAAGGTTAAACAACAACAAAAAACTCTTTTCCTGTTAGCAATAATGCCTCCCTCTGAAGGCAGCACGGCCCCAAACCCTGTCTCACAGACCTTATCCCTCAGCAAAGTCTCAAAGCATTTGCTGAGACAAACATGGGGCTGGAGGCTCTGGCTGGTGCTCACCAAGCCAGAACCTGGAAACTCACATCTTGCAATAAACCCTCGTGTTTGTTGCCGCATGAAGGAGATGGGGGTCATGAAAGTGGGGGGTTTTATATTTCCTGTATGTCTCATGCTGCATATCTTTTATATTCTGGGGGATTTTCCAGGAATGTGTCACTTTATCACTGGCATTCGAAGTATTTATTTGCATGACCTTGGAAGGGGATAAAAACACCTGAGAAGGTCATTGTCAGCTCCTCCTCATCCTCAGCTTAATGGTCTCAGTATGATGAGATGAAATTTGTGTATTTTTCTGACTGGACCCGTTGCAGAACTGAAAGAGATAATGCACCCATCTACTAAAGACTGTACAGTCCCAACAGACCTTGGAGGTTTTCCATCAGGGATGTGTCTCTGCGTGCTTGGGGGCCATTTTTATTCCCAGAGGTATTTGGGAATTTGGCTAATGCAGCCACAGTAGTACAACAGCATATTGCTTTAATAAAGCCAGCCAGCTCCCAGCTATTTCTGCATCCTCCTTTACAGCTCACCTACACCAACACGCAGAACCTGACGGCTGCCAGTTGCAGCAAGGCCAGTTCCAGAGGCCACATCTCGCAGTCTAAAATTGCCCTGCTCTAAATAGAGGAGCCGGGCGAGAGAAGCACTAAGCCTGCGGCTTTCCCGGGGAGGAACCACAGTGTAGGCGCTACGTGACTTGCCCCGGACACCCAAGAAGCTCCTGTCAGCGCGCGGAGCTCCCACATCCCGAGCCTGACCTCGTGTCGTGCACTCGTCCCGTGCATGCGAGCGCCCTAGAACGCACTGCTTGTTTTTATACCGTCTGTTCCAGAGAAATCCAGCTGGTAGAGGAGCGCAGCGCCGTGATTTATTTGAGAACTCCCTCGTACTCGCCTGAAGGTCTCGCCGCCGGGGGAGGAAGGAGAGCGCGGGAGGCTGCGCTCCTCGGCAGCTGCTCCGCGCCCGGCCCGGCACCCAGGTAGAAGGCGAGGGGAGCGGGGATTTCCTTGGCTTCTTCCCATGCACATACCTCCCGGGGAGCGGCAGCGGCAGCCCGACTCCCCTCGGCGGCCGCTGGGAGGCTCCGCTCCCCTCCCGGGCGCCGCGTCCCCGGCCGCGCTCTGTGTCGGTGACACCCGCCTCCCGCCCCCGCTCCGCGCTGCTCCGCGCCGCGCCGCACGGAGGGGCCGCGGGCAGCTCCGGCACCGGCAGCGCCGACAGCCCACCGGCAAACACCCGCCCGCCGGCGCGGGCATGGAATATACAAAAACACAAAGGAAAAGTGGCTGCTGGACTGTTCTGGGGGCAAAATGCTGGAAGTTTGTAAGTGCAACTCTCCGTTTGTAATTACTGTCTGAAGAGGGGCTGGGTTGCTTGTTTGGGGTTTTTCCCCCCTCTTCCCCTTCTCCCCCCTCCTCCGTGCTTTTCTTGAAACTGTACTTGAAACTGTTCGATATCTGGGAGTAAAAGGGAAAGTACGCGAGAGGAGTTCTTTGCCTGTGTCCGTAGCTTGCTGCTTAATACTAAGCGGGGAGATGAGCACTGAAAGCAATACGGATTTATCCAGTGGCTGAATTAAGTGAAGGCGAATCGTGGTTTGGAAGTCCACTGACTGACATTGTTCCGGACCGGGGGATCTGTCTCTCTGATTTTTAGAGGAACTACAGTTTAGTGGCAGCCAGCCGGACACAGTCACCACGCCGCAGAGTGGCCAGCAACGAGCGGGCGAGAGAAGCGAGAAAGCACAAAGACTGAACTAACCCGACCCTCCTCCTCTTTCTCCTCCTTCCCCGGCTCTTTATTTGCACATTTACTAAAGACTTAAAAGAAAAAAAAAAAAAAAAAAAAAAAAAAAAAGAGAGAGAGAGAGAGAGACACCCCAACAAACCCACTCCAGCTAACCTACGAGATTTTCGGTCCGCCGGGGGTTTCTCCGCGCCGCCGACCACGGCAATGCCTTAAATTTTCACTTCAAGGAATAACACCCCCCGCTCCCCCGAAATAAAATAAACCCAATAAACCTGCCAAGTCTCACTCATTCCCGACGGAGAGCTCTTTCGTCCAGGGATTCATTTTGAAGGCAGCGGCTCGCTTTATTTGGCTTTTTTTTTTCCCCCCGTTCTCCTCCCCCGGCGGAGCCCCGCCGTCCCCCCCTCACCGGGCGCCCCTCGGCCGGGGCTGCCCGGCCCCGACCCCCGCCCCTCCCGCCGGCCGATGCTGGCGCAGCCCTAGCGACCCCCTCCCGCCCCCCGATCTGTCAACCCCCCGCGGGGCCGTCACCGCCCGGGGGCCGGGCGGGGGTGGGCTGGGGGCGCGGGGCTGACCGCCCTCCGCCCCGCCGCCAGCCCCCGGGCTCGGGCTCCCGCCGCTGCCCCCGCCTCCCCCCCCATCCCCCCCGCCCTCCTCCATGCGGCAGTGAGGACCGACCCATCCGGAGGGCCAGGACCGGCAGCCAACGATGGGCGACACGGCTCCCCCCCAGGCCGCGGGGCTGGGGGCCGGGCTGCTGGGGGGGGGCCCGGCGGCGCCCCGGGTGCACAGCGCCATCGTGGAGCGGCTGCGGGCCCGCATCGCCGTCTGCCGCCAGCACCACCTCAGCTGCGAGGGGCGCTACGAGCGGGGCCGCGCCGAGAGCTCCGACCGCGAGCGGGAGAGCACCTTGCAGCTCCTCCACCTCGTGCAGCAGGGGCAGGGCGCCCGCAAGGCCGGCAAGCACCCCAAGGCGGCCGCCGCCCCCGCCGCCGCCGCTGCCGCCGGCGCGGCGCCCCCGGACTACCACCAGCACCTCCTCGGCAACGGCGGCATCAACGGGGAGCAGCCGGCGGGGGAGCAGCGCGCCTCGGCGCTCCTGGCGGTGAGTCACAGCGCCCGCTGCCGGCGGGGAGGCGCCGCGCCGAGCCCCCGCTCGCCCCGCGGGGCGCCCGCCCTGTCCGCCCCGTCCCGCGGGCCCGGCGGTGTCCGTGGGCTCGGCCCGCTGCGCCGCGGGGCGGGCCCTGCCAGGCGCCGGGCCCCCGACGGCGTCGAGTGTGTGAGGGGCGGTGGGCGGGCGCCGAGTTCGGGGGGCTGAGGGCGTGTGTGTGTGTGTGCTCTTCGAAGGGATTTTGGGACTGCTTGGGGTGTTGCTTTGGGGTGTTTTTACATCATGCTGTGCACCTACAAACGCGTCGCGCGCCTCTGCCGTCGCGCCTTGCCGGGGCGGTGACATCGGCATCCCTGAGGAGGGCACCGGCAGCCGACGCTGTCAGCGCGTCCCCGAGCAAGGGTCAAAAGTAGCGCTCGAGTATCACCCGCCTTCAGGATTGCTCCCTGTGCCCCGCTCCATCCCGTTCGCCAGGGCTCCAGGCACCTATTTTAGGTCGTTTCTCAGCCGTGCCCCTGGAACTGGGGCAGTGCCTAAGCCCGGGGCAGCGGGCATTGTCCGGGCACTGCCTGCGCCCGAGGGGCAGCTCCGAGCGCCGGCCTCGGCAGCGATGCCCAGGTTGTTATTGTCACCCAGAGGGTTTCGCGGAGCAGAGTTACGAGAGTTTTCCAGGCACTGCCGCTCTGTAAATGATACGCTGACCTTTTTCAACTGGAAATTGCTCTGAACATGTCAAGGAGGCGAAGCCTTGTCTCCTGTTACTTTATTACGAGCAGTCAGTGCACCACGCTTTTGAAGGCGTTTGCTCCGCTGTGCTGCCTCCCAACTCTTAATTCTCGGCACACATGCGAAACACTGAGAGGAGTGACTGCATCCTGATAGGCCCGCGGCTGCTATTCGAACAGCTGAAAATAGATCGCTCCCTCTGCTCCAGACATCAAACTTATCTTTCTTGGTGCCTGACGTATGCTAAAACGGGACCTTTGTGGTCGTTTCTCCCTTCTTACCCGTGCGGTGCGTGGATCGACGTTTGGGGCTGCGTTACTCAGCATCATTCGTGAGGGTGATGATGTAAGCGTTAAATGCGATAACATTGTGTCCGAGGGGAGTTTAGGCGCTTCCACCTGACTCAGTGTTCAGATTAAATCTCCCCACATTCCTCGTCACAATCAAGAAAGCCATTATCTTATTTTTCCAGTGTGTATTAATGTAATGCTTTGCACTTGCCTTATGGGAAAAAAAAAAAAGGGCTTTTACCTAATAGTGTATGTCCCAGAAAAATTCACTTTCAGAAATCAGGCAACAGGCCTATGTGGGGTTTTTTGTTTTGTTTTGCTTGTTTGTTTTGAATTTTTTTTTTTTTTTTTGCTAGTTGTTACTATTATTATGAAATAGCTGGAGACAGCTGCTTGGAAATGCTAAATGAAACAACTCCCAAGAAAATACTGAAAGATTTTCATCTTTTAAGTGCAGAAAGGTTGTTCTTGTTTCTGAGATATCACTAATGGCTATTAGGCTGCTGCTTGCTGGAGATGCTATGCACAGCCCTCACTCTATGTTGCATGTTGCATTACCTCCCAGAAAACTCCACACACACGTGACCTTGAGAAGCAAAAGGCCTGACAAAGTTCCCATCATTTTTGCACACCAGCCTTCAGTAATCATGCTGACAAGGTGTGTGACTTCAGTGAGCATGACGTTTGGGGCCCTGAACCGTGTTTTGACACCGAGTAAATGCTGGCTCATGGAACAGCATTGTTGTAAGGTGTCACTGCACATCCGCCCACTCTATGCTTGACACTGACATTCCTCATTTGCTGCTCTGATTAGGAAACAGAGAAAGGCATTGGTTCAAAGTCACACCTCTGCATTGTGGAGGTACACCTTCTCCTTACCAAGAGCTCCTTACAACAGTGTTGCAAATATTAACAAGGAATAGCAAAACACAAGGTGTCTGAGCGGGGTGAATTCAAGTGGCTGAGGGTCATGGGGCTTTGAGGTAGTACAGCTTTGTGTTCCTGTTCTTGAAAATTCAGAGGGCAGGGCTGGACCAGGAAAGAACAGAGTCTTGCTTTTCCTTCAGCCATAGCTGGAAGAGAAGTTATCCCTGCCAGTTATTCCAAGGGTACTAGAAGAGGAAGGACGAGGTAGACTAAGCCTGTTGTCCTGTGCATTATAAATGGATGGGAAGAGAACAATCCCTAAGCAGAATTCATCCTCTCTGGAGTGATTCTCAAGAGGAAATCCACTGCAAGCCTTATATGTGCTATTCCTCTAATTCCAGATTTATTCCTTGCAGCAGACAGGGAGCACAGGGTCCTGGAACAAGGGGCAGCTCTGAGTTTCAGTTGTGGCAGGTACAGCTCTAGCACAGGGAAGTACAAGACAGGAGCACAGCTTCGAGTCTCACTCTGAGCATGTGAGACTGGACACACAGCCGACTCCAAGGGGAATGTAAAGCTCCATATGCCTTGCTGTAGGTCCACCAGTTTAAAAAAAACCCACAGCTCCACACAGATAAGTGCAAAGGCAGTCATAACTCTCGCTGGGGAGCTCTGGCTACCAGGACACTCTTTTGTCTGCAAAACCCAGCTGGGTTGTTTCCTCTGCTTTGCAGGTCCCACTGCTCTTGTTACACATGTGCCTGCAGTGTTTAGTGGCACTGGATGGGTCATTTACACAGTTGGACTCAAAAGTAAATATTTGACACTTGGTAACATTTGAAACAATGTTTCCTTGAATGTATCAAAGAGCTTGAAGTGATTATCTGACATTGTTGGTACTATTATTTGATAATTATCTTTTCCCAGTGGGCAGTTTAAAACTGGCAGAAGAGAGAGTTTTTAGAGGAGTTTGGTTTGGCCTCAATTTAACATTGTTACTTTGATTTTTGAGAAAGTATCTTTAGCAACAGCATTTTCTAATTGCTGAGTGGAGATCAGATTTTTTTTTAGCTGGACCAATGAATGTGGGCGTGTGTGAATGAGAGATTTATTCTTCGGGACGCAGCTAGGGAAGCTTTTGTACTTTCTGCCTTCGTGCATTTCCCAAGAGCTGACATTTGTTTATTTATATGGTGTTGTTACTTTCCGTGGTGCAGAGTGGAACAGATAAAAAAATATTCTGTCTTGCTTTTATACATACATCTATATGTATGTATATGCCCTTCAGCACTTAGCTGTTTATACTATTTATGTTATATGTAAACAGTTAGCTCTGGAGGGCATTCCTCAGTGCCTTAAGCACTGAACTGGTAATACTAAACTTCTTGCATTGCAGTTTCAAGTCTCTGGCAGCCAATTCATTCCATCATCCTTCTGACACAGGCTGAGCACTGCTCATTTTGCTCTATGACAGCTGGGAACTCTGTCTCATAGGCATTAGTGGATTATTCTGGCCAGGTTCTTTCATTGCAGCCATCACCCCGGTGGCTCTGAGTGTGTTAAGCAATGTTTGTCATTAGTCACAGGTGACTTGTTCTACTTTCACCCATCTCATGGTTGTGCTGAATTTATCATTACAAGAATTCATTTAAAATAGCAATTAAATACATTAATATTTTCTGTACTTGAAAAGTGACTGTAAAAGTGGCCTGCTCCCTAGATATAATCTGCAAGCAGGTGAAGAAAGAAAAGGGAAAACCATCCCATAAAAGTGATATATCCAAGGAAGAGGGGAATGTGTTAATTCCTCGTGCTTCCTAAATTTTCATCAACAGCTGTACAAATCTAGAAGAGTCAGTGGGTTTGTCCCAGTTCCCAGAGGACCTCAGTGAAAACCAGGGTTGCCTGACTGGTACCAAGGGCCAAGACCGACTTGTAAAACCTCAATTTAGGCACTTATTTTATGTGGAGATCCTGAATTAATTTCCTTAGTATTTTTTTTTTTTTTAATGATCCACACTGTGTTTGCTGAGGTTTGGCCTCCTCTGTGCTAGTGTTAAAGATCCTTGAGTATTGTAAAAAGAACGATTGTGGTCTGGTATCTTCGCCCAAGCTGACACTTATCCCCATCTCCCAAGTTCTTTGTTTTGTTTGCTGCTTGGCTGCCAGGACACCCTGCAGAAATACCTGCATTTTTTTGTGAATGCACATAACATTTGGAAGTGCTCTGAAGCAAGCAGGATAAGGTGACCAGCTGTGGGGTGAAGTGACATTATGGTGTGGTGAAGACAGGTGGATTAAAGCACAAACCATTCTGCAAAGCTAGAGTGCAGTCTTTTCACTGACACAAAGTTTGGTGCCAAAGCAATGGAAATGTTCTGTCTGTGAGATAAAGGACTGCTCTCTGCTCCTTGGGCTTCTGCAGGAGCAAAGCTGTGTTCTGACAATCACAATTTATGTAGCTGAGTCAGGTAAAAGGAGTAAGTCACATTGCTTGTGTGGGTGGAAAACATTGATCTGCTGTAATGGGCCCTCTGGCCTGCTGAGAGCCATTTGCTTTGGATGGACATGGGTGCCATTTTAAAATCTTTTTTCCCCTTAACTGTGAAAATATTTTCCAGACCAAGCTGCATAGAAGCTGTTTTTAATGAGGATTTCAACAAATGAATTTGTTAAATTTATGCTAATTTGTAGGATCCTTTTCAGGCCTACCTCTCCCATCAAATCACTTGCACCCTTTAAAGCTTTTTCAGCTTTGAATACATTTAATGAAAGTCTCCTCCATTCTGAAACTTTTTAAGAGACTGTTTCCACCACCAAAGTTTCTGTAGGCAGTGAGCAGAGGAACAATGTCTCTGCCTGGACTTGATGTGCTCTCCAAGGCCAATCCGTGGGCTTATTAACATCTGTGGCTGTTATGGCATGTCCTCTGACAGAGTTCTTGCATCCCCTGCAGTACTCAGTTTGAGTCCCTTTTCTGTAGCACCACAACAAAGGAAAGTGATATTCAGCTTCTGTTTGTTCTACTTTGAAAAGTGGGACTCCAGCAAAAATGTGAGCTGTTCTGTGGGGAAATCTGAACGTTAGACAGGTATGTCTGAGTCAGAGAAG